ATCTCTTATTCCTACTTCGAAGTAGGAATAAGAGATCCTCCGGAAAAGGGCTTTTTTCCGGAGGATCGGGGCCAGTGTAGACGTTCTTTTCCGGCTTTTCTAAAAGCCGGAAAAAAGCGGCGGACATTTTTATTTAAATGCCGCGGGGGATATTTAAATCCCCCGCGGATTTCCCTATTACGACCTGTGAAATTAGCATGCCCCTTTCGGAAAAGGGGCCAGTGTAGACGTAGCCTATCTGTTTGTGGAAAAGGCCAGACAGCATTATCACAGCTCATAGCAAGATGTAGCTTAGCTCATTTGCATGCCTGCTGAGACCACAGGCTTCTTTGTTGGATGGGTTTACTCGGGTTATGGTGCTTAGTCAAAACTTCCTGTGTTGTCTCATTGCTACTGCTCTAGCATCTGTGACACAAGAATATTTTAACGGCAACTAACAAGGGAGTGTAATAGAAAACTTCTGAGTCTATGAACATTTTGGTCCTCCCAGTCTCGGGCAAGGTCTCACATGAAAGCTGGGGGAACACTAGTGTTGTGAAGTAGTGTACAGATGCTGGAAGCGTGTTTAAAAGGGGTATCTTTCTGCTGGAATATAAATTTAGCACTGTAAAATTACAAAATTAATATATGTTTATCTACTGAGTTGGCCATTAACAAAGGGATACAAAGTCTACAGAAAAGGAGCATGTAGGTGAAAATGAGTCACAGGAGATTATTCTGCCTCGGAACACAGACGGCACAGACTATACCCCTTCATCCCATGTCTAGGATGTGAACAGGCAGCCTTGGTTGAAAGTACTGCAGAGGACTTAGGTTGAGAGAAATATCTTCAGACAAGAGGCCAACTAACTGGTTTAAGACAATGTCCTGATTGTGGTTGTATCAATAATGACTTGTTTCCACTATTTGTACTTTTTTATAATAAATTTCTCATGAGTGACTTACCACCACAGGGACTCAAGTGTGGTTAAGCCAAATGCTGGTTCTGAGTTGAATCTTATGAACTGGTGTATATTGTTTCTTCGGGCACTGCAGTAGGTGTGTGAGTACCTCCTAATCCAGACTACTGTGTGTAACAGCATCTCTCCTCTCTTTTTCTCCTCTCCTCCTCCTGCCCTGCTTTTTCTTCTATGCAACCTACCCAACTGGTGCTGTACCCTGTTCCACATTGTAGTGTCACGTGAAGGAGAGGGTAGATGTCTGTGTTCTCGCTATCTTTCAATAAGCTCTTTGTATAAGTCCATTGCAGAGCTTATGGTAATAAAATGAAAAATGTGATAAGAGGTTTAGTTATTGCTGGCCTAAGTTATCTGGCCCCTGGTGCATGTTTGTGTCTCGCTCATATCGTCTTTTTGTTCTGGCAGTGAGTGCATGCTTGACTCCTTGGGCTATGCAGCCATGACACTATAGCTAGCTTAACACTGCACAGTAATTATTTTGTAGACATAATGATTTCATGTATAATGACTTGCTAATAAGTTTGGTATGCTTCTATTTTTTTTCTCTGATAATTTAATGTTACTATAAGGCCTTGCTTCCTGTTAGCATTACAAATTAAGTTGTACCCCTTGTCTGCATCAAACTAAGTTGTGTCTTTTAGTAATTATTGATCTTGTCTGAAACTCTACACAACTGTGTGGTGTGAGTGGAGAGGGTGTGTGACTGTGTCCTCATGTGACTAAGGGGTTAAGGTCAGGTAGCTAGCAAAGGTTTTGGCCAGGGGTCTGGGAGAGAGAGAAAGCAGGAGTTGACAGACACAGAATGATTTAAAGCCAGGCAGGACTACCGTGCCTCCATGGAATTGGACGTAAGTAAAGTGAATCCAGTCGCATTCAGGGTATTTTTTTTTCTTTATTTGGTGGCTTAGTTTGAACTGCTCTGTGTGGTTCTATGCCCCCAATTACCATCTAAGCATTGTTCCTAGAGATAGTCTGTTGGTTTTCCTTAGCTGCTCTGTAACATCTAGCAACCAAGTATGCTTTAATCTTTTGTTTTGTATTAAAAATCACTTTTTTTAAAGTGATGACTTGCATGCTGGAAAGTCTGTATCTGCATGCCTCTGACTGTGAGTACAGCTACTAGCAACTGCAGCTTGTTTTTTAGGATCAAAAAGCACTTGATGCTGGCAGTGATTCTGGGGGGAGGTTTTTTGTAACCAGTGCCTGTAGAGGCAAGGTTTTGAAGCTCTCGTGTGGGCCCTCACCTTCTGCACTCAAGTGCCAGAGTGGGGGAAACAACCCTGACAAGATCTCTCTCATTCGAAGGTGCGCTCTCTCAGCTCTTTCTAAATATCTCTATATTGTTGTTTGTTTCCACTAGTTTGGATTTCTTAATATAGCTATGTTTCAGCACTGGTTGGGGACAGCTATCTCTCTGTCCTCCCCCCAAAGGCAACAAAATATAGCTATATATAATGTTACCCCCATTCACTCGCCTTGACTTTTAAGTCATTACCCCACATACTGTCAACAACAAAAGAGAGGAAGCCTCTTATTGCTACATTTAACACTTGTACATTTTATTTTAATTCAGTCAGCCATTGTACACATTGCAGCTATGTATTGTTTGTTAGTGTTGTAGGTTTGTATAACTAATACATGCCCTCATAGATATATTCAATTAGTGTTATCACCATGGGAACAAGATGCTGATTCATCAACTTAAAAAAATCACTTCTTCTCACAGTATTCATATTCAAGTTCTTCTTTGATAACACAGCGCAAAAAAAAATCATAGGGTGAATAACCATTATGTTGTTAGTTACACAGAACATCATCTGCACGGCAAATAACACAACAGAAATGCATTTATTATTTCCTCATTTCATTTCTTTAGTCCTGGTTTTTGACCATCATTCCTAGTTTAGCTGCCTACTTTTCTCTGTTGTGGCATCAGCATCTTTACTTTGACATTCCAAGCACTGAGTGAGTCATTTTTTCTGACTATTTAGGTGTGTGTGTATATTACATATGTTAAAATGCTACAGCGCTCCCAACCACTAGTAAAATAAAGCACAGGACACAAAATATTTCAGATTTTTTTTATATTCCCTTCTTTCAAAATAAAAGTGCAGGGATGCTGTTTTAATTCTCAGAGAGTTAGTTTAGAAATATAAAAGTCAATTGGAAGATGATTAAAAACTGCTTGTTCAGTGCTAAGAGGATTATTGGTTCTTTTTAAATGCCACATGCATGTATCAGATAAGAGGCAATCTGGATAATAAAACATGGTGCATGAGAAATCTTTTTTTCCCCTCTCTCATCTACAGTGCAAGTGGCCAGCAGGAAGATACCACTACTAAGACAATGTGGATTGGCTAAAGCAGTGATGAAAACAGGAAACTACTGTAGTTATAGCTGTTTAATACATCCTGCCATGTGTCCAGATCTACAGGAGTTCAATACCATATGCAAATGGGCCATAGCTATAGCTGCTAGCAATTTGATTATCTAATTGATTACTTAATTGGGTATATGTTCCTCCTTTAATAAACTGGAAGTCCTATGGATGCAGAAGATCAAGATCAGGTCTGCAGTGCTGCCTCCCCCAGAGTATCTTTTATGTTAGCAATAGTCCTCGTAATTCACAATGCTAGTCTAAGCACTTTAGTTATGTACAGTTCACATATTAATATCCCCTTTTTAAAATGTTTTTATGCTGCAGATGCATGTACATAGTCACTTGAAGAGGCCCGTGGATGAGAAGGGTGCTGTTCTGTCTTTGGTCACAAATTAGCTTACACATACAAAAGAAAAAGGGGAATTGATTTCATTGAAATAGCTGGACTTTTCTCATTTGGCCTCTTGCTTCTGGTCCTCTTTGCAAAAATGTCTAAGAAGTTGCTGGAGAGCTTCCTGTGCTGCTTCTGGTATACTCTCCAGCTGTTCCTCAAGAACATGTCTTCCATACTGGTCCTTCACCACAGTACTCTTCTGTGAACTGCACTTATTCATGGTTGTCCTAAAGAGGAAAAAGGTAAATGAACTATGCGCTATTTTTGCTCTTAAGAATAAAGTAAACTTTTAAAAAATATGTTAGAAATGGCAGACGGTGTTAAGTTTGTTAATTTTCTCAAAAGTTCACTCTGCCATGCTGACTCAAACCTTTTAATAACCGATCCATCCTCTTTCATGATCTCTTTCTCTACTAAAGTAGGGAATTGGACATTCATTTGGCTACCTGTAAAACTCAAAGCCTAAAGTGAAACACACAATAAAACCTTAAAACAGAAGGTAATCATACTTGTGAGTAAAGGAACAAAGAACAAACCTAGTGGAAATAATGTAAGCAGCACAAGCACACCAACTTTACCTCTTCAAAGTCCTCTTTGGCTGTTGGGAGATCAGTGGCTAAACTCGCATCACCAAGGTGCTTCTCCATTCGTTCTCCTTGCACCAGTGTGGTCTTTACAACTTTACTGACCTTCCGGCCTTCCACTAGTTCAGCTTGAAATTCTGAGGCACCCGTCGCAACACTGGGCTCAGAGAATGTCACCTGCAGAGATGATGTTGAGGATACATTCTGCTTAGACCTTCTGTTTGTTTGGGCAAGTGGTAAAAAGGAAAGGATCCTGAGAAAGTCTCACCTCAGACTGTTCGGTGTCACTCTTCAGAACAAGCCGCTTTACAACTTTGGAATATCCATCTCCTTCTTCAACTGTAACAGGTTCTTGTGGTGTTCCATGCATTAGGACTTCTTCCTTTTCTGTACCATCTGGTGAAATATATCTCCTGATAATCTTTCTGGTGACCTAAGGGAATATCATAACTCTAAGTGCAGCTGCTTAATATGTCACTTTGCTCCCTGAGAATAGTGAGTAAAAGTATTAGATTGTAATTCATAAAATGAAAACTGACAATACCTTCTTCACTACAATGTGGCCATGTTCATCTGTGTACTGCTCCTCTGTTACTGTTTCTGGTGGTATTTCAGGCATGTCATCAGCCTGCACAAGAAGAAAACAAAACTTCATTAAGCAATGCCTTAAGATGCTTTACATAAACATCATAAAGTAAGAATTGAAAAAGCAGTCAAGAGTATTAGTGCTGAGTTGTTAAACTCCATAAAACATTCTGCAAATGAATATTAGAAGACATGCACTGGCGGGTTGCCTTAGCAGCAGACCTTATGAAGGTTTTCACTACAGATATAGCTCGGACATATTGCCAGTGGCACGTGCAGTAGTTCAACACTCAGTACCTGAATAATCACCCGCCGGCGAATGACCCTGGTAGTTACCATCTCTTCTTCATCTGAGCTGGTCTTTAGCTCACCTAATTCTTCTGCTAGCTCCTAGTAGAAGCATGGAAGCAGTGCTCTATTTGTCTCTCTTTTAGCGCCATAAAACTCATTGCTTAGGTGTACATATTCTAAAATACGCTTTTTGTTGGCTCATTAAGTCCCACTGATCATAGAAGGTGGTTAGAAAAAGAAAAGATTAAGCAAGTAATAAAAAAAAAACCAAAGGCCCTTTCACAAAGTCAGAAATATTAAGCTAGCAGGGAGAGCATTCTTTTATATTTTCTGTTCCATAGTCGTTGACATAGTTTTGTTACGGATTGATTGGTACTGGATTCACTACAAGCCACAGAAGTGTAGTGCCAACCCTTGGAATAGCAAATTGAACTTATTCTTTGAGAAGAGCCAGGAAAGCTATTCCTCCTTCTCTTGATAAGAGGTGGGACTCATTTTCTCTTATACTGAGCCCCTTCATTGCAACCCTTCTTAATATTATCTTAGATTCTGAGCCTTCCTACCCTAGATGGATGTAGAAATGCAAAATACATGAACAGCTTAAGATGACAAATTGGGAAATGTATTGGGGCAGAAGACAGATCCCCGCCGTAGTCAGAGAAAGAATGTTGAGAGCTTTCTCACCTATTATCCTCTTATCTCATTCGCCTGAAAATATATAGTAGGGGACTCCTTCATCTTAACAAATAAACCATCCTAAACCCACTCATAATCGCCTAGCAATTGTAAAATAACTAGGGGGTTGTGCCCCCTCCTCGCTACACTTCCCCCTCTGCCCTGGGCCACCAAGAAGGGGAGGGAAGGGGAGGGCTTGCTCCTGTGGATGCAGAGTGATTTGATGCTGTGTCTGTTGTCCCACAGGATTTTTTTTTTAAGAGAGAGAGAGATGAGTGGTCCTGTGGCACCTGAGGGATTAACAAAAATATATATATAGTATCATGAGCTTTCATGGGCAAAACCCACTTCTTCAGATGAGTTGAAAGCTGGAGTGGAAATAATAGTAACCCAGAATTTATAACAGGAAAAGGAAAGGAAAGCACCTGTCTATTGTAGTACCGGTACCAATGAGGCTAATTGAGTGAACTGGAAGTGTCCCATATTTGGGTTTTGATATATGTGAGGTATTAAATGCAGGAAATGCTGGCTTTATAAAGTAGTTCTCAGTCACATGAGCAGTCCTATTCACTTCAGTGGGCCCACTTGCATAAATACTTACCTAGACTATGTTGCCATATAGCAGTGGTCTTCAACCTTTTCAAGCACAAGATCACTTTTTGAATGTGTTAACTCAGGATCTACCTCAAACTCAAAGACCCTTCACCGAGGCCCCGCGCTCCTCATTCTGTGAAGATGGGTTACAGGAGAGGAGGACAGAGTGACATTAGTGCCCCTCCTCCCCTGTCTCTCCCACCCTGCAGAACACGCAGGAGGCTCTCAGGGTATCTCTGAGGCTCTGGGTAGGAGCAGCAGGGCAGTGCAGGGAGGGGCAGCTGAAGGGCTGGTACTTGATAGCCTCCCAAGCCAAACCAGTCAGGATCATGTGTCAGAGGCTCCAAGATCTACCAATAGATCCTGATCTACTGGTTGGTGATCACTGCATATAGATTAATACTTGCCATGTGAAAGGAATATTTACTCATGGCAAAACTGAGTCAAAACAAAGAGTTGTAGATAATTAAAGATGATTTTGTCAGCATTTGCTTAAGATAAAGATGCCATCATAGGGGCAGGGGTTGATATTACCTTTCTAAATGACTTGTCATCATCATGTCTTTCTAACTCTGCTGGCTGTTCATCAGTTGACTCCACTATAACCAGACTAGTTCTCCTTGGGGAGAGGTGGAGGTCCTCACATTCTTGTGCAATGGGAGAGTTGCCTCCCTCACTAGATGGTCTCTCTTCACATCCTGTGGCGGAGCCTTTAAATTTTTCCTTTGCAAAACCTGCTGCTTTTTCAGCCTTTGGTGCTATTGATTCTTCTGGAGTCGTGACACTGTGGATTACAGAATCAGCAGAGGTAACGACAAAGCATTCTATTATGAGCCCCATAAATATGCTAGGTGGTTGCATGTGCCATTTTTTGCAATGTTATTTTAACATCTGAACACTGATTTTTATTATCTGTTAATTTAAAAACATTAAAAAGCAAGAGAACTAAAAATATTTAAAAATCGAAATCTACAAATGGGCAAATTGCGCTGCCATATACTTGACTTCAGAGGTTTAGTTCTGCTAATTATCTGGTGAAAAATTATCATGATACATTCTGGCAGTAATCTATAGAAGTTGTTCGTGATACGCACAATCAGGCACTTTATTTTCTAGAATGCTACTCGGGTTGACGCTCCTCTCATTTGCATCCCTGTACCTCAAGAGCCAACCTCTTCAATGGAGTCACAGAGGTGAGACTGGAATCCAATCCTTTCTTTCTAAGATGTTCTGGAGCCAACAGGCATGGATAGCTATCATTTGTGACTTTCCCCCTAAATCTTAATCCTTTTTAAGAGTTATACATCCCATCCCAGAGTGGGAGTAGTTACATGAACAGTCTGACTTAAATCAATGGGACGATTTTATGAGTAAATGTTTATCAGTATGGGTAAAAGTTACACAAAACAAAATACTGTCATGTCATATACATAATTCAAAGTAATTTTTTTTCTTTTCAGTACTCTTTATACCATTATATGAAAATTCATACTGTACATCAAAGGCTAGACTCATTCTTCCTGGCTGTTGCTAGATCTAGTCAATCTCAACACTTTCCTCTCCAAATAATCTTAAGCAGCACCAAAATTACTTCAACAAATCTATACAGAAAAGATCTCTCTTTAAAGCAATGTTCCTTTTTCTTTGACTATTCAAAGCATACCTTTCACATACTTATGTTGGAAGAGTGGTTAGTGTCCTGAATTAAAATTCCTGTCTGAAAGTTAAAGGTACTTTGGGTCAATAACCAACTGCCAATAATAATTTCATTAAGGGAATTATTATTTAAAAACTTCAAAAACAACAAATAGTCTAGCAGCACCTTAAAGACTAACAAATCATTATTATTGTTAGTTGTAACATCTAAAATATGACACCAATGCATTAAGTGTTGCAAAGGTCTCCTTAAAAAACTGCTGGCACACCCAATAAATAAAACAGTTCTTCCCAAATAATTCCACCCACTCGTGCTGTTGATATTCCTCTCTAAGAACCCTATAGTAGGCAGATATGTAATGATCTGTTCCCCACAAAGGTTTTATCCTGCTCTCATATATAATGAGAGATTATGTGACGGATATCGTGACGGGCCGGCCCCGTCACTCGCACCGCGTCCAGGCGGGCAGGCAGCTCACGCGGCGAGCGAAGAGCCGGGGAAGCGCCGGCTGCATTGCCGCGCATGCGTGGCAAGCCGTGAGCTGCTTTTAAACGTGGCCCCAGCACACCTGGGGGGGGGCCCGCAAGCGGGAGAGGGCGGCGGACACCAAGGAGGGGCGGCGGCCACAAGGGGAAGCCGACAGACCGTGGAGGACGCGGGGGAGCGGTGGACCCGGACGGCGCCTACCTACCCCCGTCCCAGACGAGAGGGGGTGCGCGGAGAACCACGGCCGAGAGCCCGAACCACGGCAGACCAGACCCCAGGCCACAGAAGGGCGACGACAGACCATGGGAGTGACGCCCCGATCTGGACGGGGACTCTGGACTGGTGAGAGATGGACGAGAGGGAGTCCCGAGACGGGGACCGTGGGGGAAGAGGCAGCCACGGGGGCTAAGTAGCAGGGTCCTGGTCATAGCAGGGCTCGGCCCCCTTATAAGAGAACCCTACTGTGCCCTATAGGCCGAGAGAAAAAGGGTCAGGGGTAGCGGTGAGCCCCTCCGTGAATTGAACACGGGCTCCCTTACCCCACATTCCTACGGGGCTAGATGGGCGGGGGTTAGTCCCGCCGTGACAGATACACAAAATAAAAGGATGTTTCAGTTCAACATGCAATTGGTTATAGATTTTCCCGGCCATCTTTTGATACTTACAAGTGCTCATGTTGTGCAGCTGATGAATCTTTTGGCAGATCCGGTAGTTTCCCTGAGAACTCAGCGGGTACTCGCTCTTTGTGTGCTTGTCGCAGGAGCTCTGCAACTGATAAGTCTGTCTCAGCCCTGGGTGTGCTCTCCTGAAAGGAAGAGTAACTGACAGATGTGTCTTCTTCAGAGACAATAGGAGGATGATCGCTGTCTTTATAATGCACTTCTTCCTTCTTGTGTCTTGGACTGTAAAGTTCCTCTTGCAGTGCAGAAAATCCTAGGAACAAGGGGAAAAAATCATTAAAATGCTCCCTGCCACTCCCCACCATGATGTTGCAACTTTCTCTGAAGTTTAATTGCCAGAGGAAATATAGTTTTGCAACATCATAATGAGTTATGGGGCTCTGCTGTGCATGATTTATAAGTGCACATGTGGGTGGAAGATGAAGAAAGTAGATGAAAGTAGTTGTTGGTGAAATGTTGGATTTTCACTATGATTGCCACCGAGCTTCATAGCAACATGTAAAACAAATGATCTTCCTATCTAAAACTGCCACTGAATGAGCTGAAACCACTTCAGAAATATTCTTTCAGTCTCACAATAGCCCTTTGAAGCAGATCAAGGATAGTGTAGATTAATACTCTAGCCAGGTAAAACTGTAGAAGGATTTTAGGTGGGAATAGGATTTTGAATTATAAGGACATTATTACATTCATATTTTATCCAAATAATGGTGAAAATACCACTTTCTGTAACACCTTGGCGTTTCTTAAATATCTTTCCATCTAATGAGTGCTGCTCTTTATAAAGCTCAACAGAATCACAGCACAAATGCAGGTTATGCCATGGAGAATACCATGTGTTATTTAAATAGACGCAATCTCATTGATTTCCATGGAATCACCGGTACGACTATGAGCAAATTGGCCTATAGGGTACATCAAAGCTTCCTTTACTAGCATTATAAGACCTGATTATGGTAGGTGATTGTAGATGAAATACTAGTTTTTGTCATACTTATTAAATTGTCCTGCTTTTAAAGATAAATGACAGCTATTATTACAAGCATGGTAGAGTATTAGTAAAGTGTCTTAACTATACATTTTAGAATGGAATCTAGTGCAGAGACAAAATCACTTGGAAGATAACGTGAAAGGGTAACATCAGGAAGCATCTACCTTCACTATGATCCAGTCCTATGGTTTGTTCAATTTCTGCATAGGTGCGAGCGCCACAGTCCTGCACAAAGTCTCTGTGGCTTGTCTGCATTAGATGAACAATATCCATTCGGTTGATTTTTGTGAGACACTGGGTAAGGCTTGTATCTGTGATGTTCAAAAGACACCATTTAGTCATACGCTTCTGGGCCACCAATGCCCGAGCTCGCAGAAATATGTAAGATTTTCACTCAGCAGCATGACACACAGAATGCAAATATTTTATGGTTAAAAGAACCAAGGGACAGAACAAAAACATTGTATTATTGTTATAGAAAACCTGATCTGTTGGAAAGGTTCATGCAAGAATTACTTTCTAACATCATCCGTTAGAAAGCTTCCTCAGCTAATGTGAATTTTTCTGCTTGACAGGGTAATGGAGGACTTAAGGCAGGGGTGGGCAGTAATTTTTGTAGGGGGGCTCTTTAGCATCGTAAGTGCAGTGCTGCTCCCGCTACCCCCCTCTCCGCCACTGCAGCTCTGCAGTTTGAATGTAATAGGAGCCAGGCTGCCTGCATACCTGGCTCTTACTACATTTAAACTGCAGAGTGGCAGCAGAGATTGCTTCTTCTGAGCACCTTCCCATATCGACTACACGATTACCCAGTTGCCCACCTCTTAACATCCTTAGTGGGTGAGCCTGCTAAGTCTGGCAAAGTACAGCTGGTGCAATAACTGAAAATTTACCTGTAGCATGTTTCCCATCCCTGTCAAGCCAGTATTTCAGAAGTGCATGGCTCTGGTCCTGCAGTGAATTTGGATTTTCAATTCGGATCTGGTGAATTTGCTCTTCCGTGAAATCAAGTTCTCTTGCTAATTCTGTGAACAAGAAGCCATTGTTTGGTAAAGACTCAAATTTGTTGTTGGCTTGGGCCCGCTTTCAAGGTTGTCAGCTGCAGCCACAGAGATTACTTTCCCTGGCACCAAAGTTCCTTCCATTTTATGTTCCATGCCTACAGACATTAGCAGTCTCGGGGAGACATTTTTATTTTGAGATTGACATGTCCTCCAGAATCCACCACTCCCAATGTTCGTGTAGTATCTGAAACTTTTTTAATCTACTTGAAGAACTGCTTAAGAATGACATCTTTTGCAGGCAGATTGGATTAATGCACAAGTGCTAGAGGCATCTCTGGACATGTGACGGTTGGAATCTTAATCAGATTTAAAAAATATCATTGTAAGACACATGGATTGGAAGAAAAGTTTGGCAAGGTGAATGGAGAGTAATCATCATAGCTATGTCTGCTTGTGTTGGCTGGTAGCCTCAAATAACAGTTCTCTGAGAGAGGGAACTGCTCCATTCCTCTCAATGAAATGTTAACTGTACCCAGAATTAGTGGGAGGCTCCTGCCAATACCCATAAGAGTGTATAGTATAAAAGGGCAGGGGCCAAATCATTCAAGCTGACATAACCTAGCAGCTGGGATAAGAACTGGGGAAGCCCTGCTGCCATTCCTGGCAGGAAAATTGGAGGACATGTCACTGCCCTGTGTCTCTGGGAGAGAAGGGGAGACCCCCACTCCAAAGGGGAGAGTCCCCTGAAGTGATGTTCCAAAGGTCCTAGACTGAATAATTTTTGTAAATTCATTCATGCTCTTTTGCAGTTTTGAAACAAAATGTAAACAGCTAAAAATACATATTGAAAAACAAATACGGCACATGCACTGTACCTACAAATTAGACTTAGCTGCAAGTCATGCAGGATTTTTTCTAAAAATATTAATTTCCTTGAATGTCCAAAATATGGTAGACAAGATGAACCTTTGCCATTAGCCGGGTGTGTTTCAGGCAGGCATTTTACTCTGCTGCCACTGTTAAGATAGTCTAACCCATGGGTTCCCAAACTAGGGGCATGATGACATTCCAGGGGGGGCATGAGGCAACCCAGCCTCCCCCACCATCAATTCCTTCTCTCCCCCCCCTCAAGTTTTGATGTTCTTTTTGTTTTTCGTCCCTGGTCAGTTCCTCCCCCCCCCCTCAAGTTTTGCTGCTATTTTGGGGGAAGGAGGGTTTCTCAAAAATCAAAAAAGGGGTGTGATGCTGAAAAGTTTGGGAACCACTCAGGATTAAGGTTCTGCTGTGTATGGCTAAAACCAAGTTTGTGGTAAGAAAAGAGACCAAATTCAAGGTAAGACAGTGATCTGCCTTTATAATACTTCACTAGGGTTTGAAGTGACCGTTTTCCTCCCCGTGCATCCAGGAATGTGCACAACCTTGGGACTGGTCTGTGCTATAAAGTTGCATGTGCCTACACTCAGATTTGTCTCTAGCCAATGTAAGATCCCTTACGACAATGCAGTAACATCACTCTCGAAGTGGTACTGGCCATTGTCGCCCCACTGAAGTTAATGCAGTGCGCACGTGTGTGATCTGCGTTGACCCTAATTGTTCCACAATGCCCCAGTCTTTGTGACACAATTCTCCGGTCATAATTGTAAGCGCTGCTGCTAAAAGATTGGAAGCCACCCCATCTTGAAACTTGCCCATGTTTTTGAAATTCCCTTTTTCCTGGCTGCACAGCTAGGTGAGCAAACCCAGGCTTTCTTGTATGCAACTGCCAAACCAACCATGCCGGCTCAATGCACTAGATATGCTCTGACCTGGAATATGCAGAAAATATTGGTTTTTCTGGACCAATGGAGAGAAGAGGCTACGCAAACATGGTTATAGACCAGCCGTAGAAATGTGTAACTCTGTGATGAGATGGCTCAGGGATATAGGAATCACCAGCAGTATTGTGTGAAAGTAAAGAACTGCACCAACATGTTCACAAGACCATGGACGCCAACAACAAATCTAGTGCTGAGTTGCAGGCCTCTTACTTCTACAGCGAGCTGCATCCTACACTTGGCAGAGGCCCGGCAAATACCCCATAGACCACTGTGGATACCTAAGAGGAGCCTAAGATGGAAACTCCAGCCATGAACAAGTGATGATGAAGAGGAAAGAGGGTTAGGTCCCATGCATAGCCTCAAAGGCGAAGTGTCCCATCCCAGATTGGTCTGCCAGAGATGAAGAGGGAGAGGGGCTCTGTCCTTCTGTCCCTGTACCTCACCTGGCACATACAGTCACGCTCCCTGGCAACTGGGAAGGACACGGGTCACTGCTGCCTCCCAGCCTGGTTCTCAAGCAGAAGTGACTTCATCCTGCTCCCCACGGAGAACAGCTAAATGGGCAGGGGAGGGGGGTGGGAGGTGCAGGGAGAGAAGGACATTTTCCCCCATAACATGGGGTGGGAAGAAGTCACTTGGCACTGGAGACACATTTCTTTCTGTTTAGATTGTGGGTCCCACTTGGTATGCTGCGGGGAGGAGACATGCACTGTGTATTACCTGCAGGTTCAAAGTAGAACAGTGATGGAAAACCTAGGTTAGTGATGTAAGTGGGCCTTCATCTCAGTGGGCCCACTGAGATTGCCATAACCAATATGGTCTCCTGGGATAGGGTAGTTTTGCTAACTGTGTTTGTGTGTATCTAGACTATGCGGGGTGGGCCGACTGAACTGCAGCAGTGCATTGATTGGATGCAGAGGCTCCCACAGTCAATGTTGTCTGTAATCAGCACACACCTCACTTTATGTGCCCTTGCTTTTCATGCATGTCACTTTAGCAAAACTGGTAGGAAAAAATCTACATGGATGGAATCTGGCAACCCTGTGCGTGGGCAATGGTAAACAAAATGTCTCATGGGCCACACACAGAATTCTGATGGACCACATGCAGCCCAAGGATTATTAAGAATTCTGCATTTGATGGAATTTCATATTATCATAGTGGATTATAGCAAACTGGGACTTCCTCAGAATTCCTCCATCAAGGAGCGTGGTAACTTAGCCTTCCTAGTGGAAGTGATTGAGGGTTCTATTGCTTAAATTCATGGGAAAACTGTTAGAGGTCTGAGAAGAGGAAACTGGGGTTGCATCGCATAGGGCCAGGGAGAATGGTCCTGGTACAGTGGACTGAGTGAGAAAAGGTTCAGAGTTCACTGCAAATATAGATATCAAGGGAAGCGGAGGATAAAGTTTTGGTTTGGACTATGTGCTACTAAATGCTGGACAGAGAATTCTGCACACCTCGTTCTCTTTAAGTTCCTCTTGTCAACTGATTTCCAGTAGTGGAATTATTAATTTCACTCAGTACCAGTTTGGGTCTCTCCATGATGAGGTATCTGTCTCCGCTCAGTGTGGGTTTCAGCAAATAAAATGTTGCAACTCTGCCATCAGTTCTGAACAAAAGGGGAGGACTGCTCTCATTTAGGAAAGAGTTACACAGCTGCCTGTGAATGCTTTGTAGCCCAAAATTGCTGGAGCGCAGGCTGCTCTGGTCATGCCACCACTACCTGGCATGGTTGCTAACCAGAGTCCTGGGGGTTGCAAAAATGGGTGATACTGTTTTATGATGTTGGGTCTGTACTATTCTTATGCTGGGAGGTTTCCTCTGCCAGGGGCCACAGAGTCTAGAATCAGGCCCATACTCCTTTTTTCACTGCAAGGTTGTAGTTTCTATATCTATTGGCAAATTTCTATAAGCAGACTTTCATTAATAAAAAAAGACATTTGGTAGAAGCATGGAAATGAAAGGGGAAAAAAACCATTTCTGCATGAACATATTTAATCTGAAAGAGATTACATGCAGTTTACCTGTCCAGCTGAATCCAAGATGATCAGCAATGTGTGCAAGTCTTTCCTCTGTTCTTCTTTGATCATCCTGTTGATCTAAATAGGGTCAAACAGAATAGCCACAAGTTGTCTATCAACAGGTCAAGGAGAAGCTACAAAACCAATATATCTCAAGAAAGGAAAGCTTTCTTCTAACTGTTCTGAAGTGCCACAAACTGTGACTAAGTATTTAAAAATGGCTACCGAACATTAGTCTTTTTACTAGCTCTGTTATTTAGGTGCCAAAAAAGGCCAGATTTTTAAATTGGAGCTTTTTGGCTGGTCAGCCTTTTCTAAAATCGGACTGCTTATGTAGATGCAAAGATAAGGTGTGAAAGTCTGGCCCAAAATATTCTTAGGCTTTTATTTAACAATAAGCCCTTTTATATCTAGAACAAAGGCAAAGAAGGCAGACTGTTACTGACCCCAAAAAAACAACCAAAAAAAAAAAAGAAAACCACCACCTGCATTTTTCCATGCCCTCGTTAGTTAATGCTAAAGAGAAGTCAAACATGTACTGTAATTTGTTCATTTCCATTGGTCCTTTCTAATTATTATATTTTATTTGATAATTTCATTAAAGGTTATTACAATCTAGTTCCAAGAATAACCCAGGATATTTTCAAAGGAAGCCTGGGAAAGACAAGTTCCACTTCTCAGTGTTTATATATTTCAATGATAAAAGTATAAGGACCTGTCTTCACATCCAATTTCAGACCAGCAGAGTTTGAGTTTTGATTTTCCCAAAACAGACATGCAGAATTAATGAAATTACCATCTCTATTGTTTAGTAGTTACAGGAATACAGATGTATATATGTGTTTGAGTTTTACTGTTGGATTTTCCTTGAGGCTACTCAACAATATATAAAAGTTAACATTACTTGGGGAAAAAAAACAACACCTGCATTAAGTTATTGGGGAAATGCAGAGCATTCTTCAGAAATTGGCTGTCAAAAAAATGTAATAAGAGTTTAAGGATTTTTAAAATGTGAAACTGTTCTGAAGTCTCAAACTGGAAAAAAAAATACACCACACCTAGTTTGAACAACAGTGCATGTTTATTTGCCAAAATATTCTATGACTAGTAAAAATAGGAGGTCAGTCTAGAACCAAGGAAAACCAAAAGTCAAAACTCCCATGGCCTAAAAAGGAGGATCAACTGGTGTTAAAGGAAAATAATACCATGTTTTTACCAAAGGATTTTCTGCTTATTGTGTTAACACTTTCCATAAGCATTCGCATTGTGCAATCTTGAGACTGTTTCCCAGACAAGAAAATATAGACACAACACAATAACAAACAGAGCTTACACGAAGGCATTAACAATCACACAAAGCACAAAGAAAAGAATGCACAAGTCACACACACGTGCGCGCACACACGCACACACACAAAAGAATTATAAAATTCATGACATGCGTAGCACTAGGAATCCCAGTGTCTGGCAAATACCTTCAGCACGGTCATGGACATTTTCATCAGGAATACGCTCAATCTGAGTCTCAATGGACTCATCCCAAATGGGCCTGGTGTCAAAGATGTCTTCGGGAATTGACTGCTGGGTCTCAGTGGATGGCACGTTTTCAATAACAGAAACTTCTAGGGCGCTACTACTTTCATCATCTGAAATTAATTCTTGTTCTCTTTCTGACTGGGTAAGTCTATCCACTAACTTGGAAGCTTCATCACTAATCTCTTCAAAGAACTCTATGGAGTTTCTGTAAAGGTCAAAAAAATGGTCCTTACTTTCTTTTGTAGGACTAACAGTACCGTGAGAAGCTGTGGCACTTCTGCTTTTAACTGGCAGTCTTGATGAAAATATCTTTGGTCTTGCTGTTGTCCCATCATCTGATTCTAGCTCTTGCTTCATCTCATCCACCCTTGCTCTGGTCTCCACTTCCACCTCAGCATAACTCCTAGCTCTTATTGAGCGCCTAGTCTTTGCATCCATGGGAACACTTGATTCAGATTCAGATTTGCTTCGATTATCTTGTTTCATAGATGGTTTGCATGTCATATCGAGAGCTTTGGGTAACTGTGCCTTCTGAACAGAAGTTTCTGGATCTGTACACTGTTGCTCTGTTCTTTGGAAAGCTTCTTTGACAGGTATTTTAGACTTTGGTTTTGTTGGGTCATCCTTTATTTCATCTTCCAAACTGTCCAGAAAGCCATCTGAAGATGGGATCTCATAGTCTGGTTGTTGCAATGACTGCGGTGCAGCAGGAGTAGTTCTTACAGGAATTTTGGATTTGCTTTCAGAAGAAGGCACGCCGCTGTCCGGGACAGCAGTAGGGATTTCAATCACGGACCTCTGTTCCTCCGGTGAAGATTCTGGGGACTCGTCATCCTGTTCAGAATACACAGACCTAATGACTGTGGAAAATTCTAACTGTATCACAGACTGCTCTGGGGAGATAGGGCAAGGCACCTGACTGCTATCACATTTATCATCAGTTTCTGTTCTGGAGAAAGGATCTACTTCAGAAGCTTCAGAGGCAACAGTCTCTTTCTTTGGTGATTTTGAAGAAACTGAAATACCCATTTTAATGGGAATTCTAGATTTAAGTTCTGCTTTTGTAGTGGCCATGCTGACACCCGTGCTAGTCATTTCCTCTGATTGTTCAGGAGGCTCAGATATTGGCAATGCTGTTGTAAGTGCATGCTTTACCTGTATATCAGTTTCATCTGATTCTGAAGGTGCCACAGGATCTGGTGATCTCTCTAGCTTAGGGGATTCCATCTCTGTGGCTGCTTTCATTTCTTCAGCTAAAGAAACTTCTTCTTGAGACTTCTGCCCTACTTGGAAAAAGTGAAAGCTTTCATCTGCATAGTTCCTTTTGGTCATGTCAATGGCTCCACTTCGAGTCATTTCAAACAACTTTCCTTCCTGGAAGAGAAAAGGATTTTGTTCACTAGTTGGTGTCCCTTCTTCTGTGGGTGTCCTCGCTGGTGTTGTATCTGGCGTTGTACCCTGTGACCGCCTGTCCACTATTAAACCAAAAATCTTTTGTTCCTCCTCTTTCACACGAGCCTCAAAAGCTTCATCATCTTCACGTATTTCGCTCCACCTGTCAGAATCCACATCTGTTTTGGTGATGACCACTTGGCTGATCAGTTTCTCGGCTTCATCTTTTATATGCTGAAGGGCAGTTTCATCTAATGCTGCAGGGTCTGCTGATGAAGGCACTGAAGTTGATATTTCCTGTTTTGAATCTATTTGCATATACATCTCTTCTGAAGTTTGATCTCCACTTGCAGGATCATGTCTGCTAGGCGAACTTGCCACTAATGATTCCTCAATTGTTGTTTCTATTTCAACAGAACGAACATCTCTAGATGATGGACTTGTCTTCTGCCTTGTTACAGTTCCTACTCTACTTTCGTAGCTAGTGAAAAAATGTTCAGAAGGGACATTTTCATATGGGCTTATTATTTGCGGAGCATCGCTTTCATCAGTATCTGCGGCATAACTTTCAAATTCATCCTTTTTAGTGGTAAGGGATGTATAGTCTGTGGAAAGCTCATCTCTATAACACACACTTTGGAATGGCTCAAGATCTTTGTCTGATTTTGTCAAATCACTTCCCAAAGCAGAGCACTCGGGGGAAATATCTTTAGCTAATGCATCATCTCGTGATGCAGAACTGTGAGAATTATCATGCCCAAAGGGACCACATACTTTCCCAGACCCATTCCCTTCAGTACTGAGGTCTTCATGTGTTAACTTTCCAGCTGCATCAATCTGCTTCTGAGAGGCATGGTGTTGCTGTAGTGCTAGAGAAGACTGATGAACCAAAACGTCTTTTTGAGCATCTTCACCAATTGCATGACAGAAAGCACTATCAAGTCGTACCACTGGGCCATTAGGGCTAACTGTCTCGCTTTCATCTGTACTATAACAACACTTTGATTCATCAGTTGCTGGTATGATACCAGCATCACAGTGAGAAACATTTGATTCTTCAGTGGAAGCTTTACACTTATCACCGAGCACAGATAGTTCCTCTTTCTCTTCTTTTCTTGACTTCTCTGATTCTGCTTTGTAATCCTCCATCCTGAAAGCATGTTGTTTGGGGTCAATAGGTTGAAACCCTGCTTCTTCGGGGCTGGAACTGGAGTCTATGCTGGGTGGATGCGGTGATGGAGGTTGCACTCGAATCACAGGCTCCATTAAGAGGCCCGAGTCAGCTTCTTTTTTCAGCTGAGTCAACTCTGGCTCACTTTCAGAAGAGGAAGAACTTTTCCTCGTGTCCATAGCAGACATCACTACTGTAGGTATATCTTTTCCTTCAGTAGCTATTGGCACTGGTACTTCAGTTTCACATGTAATATCTGACTCGGGAACTGAAGAAGATTCATCTTGCTTTTTGTCCTTTACATACTCTCTTTTCTGTTTTGCTTCTTGTTCCAATTCATCAAACATTTTGATTTTGGTCACCATCTTAAACATTTCCTCTTCTGGAGTGAACCTCTTCTTTGGTTCACTTTCTGAATCATCCTCTGGCTCTTCACTGACTTCAGGGATTGTGGCTGACTTGGATATATTAGACAGTGCCTGCAAGTCTGCAGTTTTGGGTGTAATTTCATAGCTAATTTCTTCAGAGCTAGGAGTGTCAGGCGAAAGAGGACTTTTCCCTGAACTCTCCATGAGGGAAGTCTGTTCTAAACTGTCGTCTTCAGCACTTCCATCGGGGTCACGAAGAATTCTGGAACGCATCGATACCAGCTCTGGGAACATTTCTGCTCTGGTAGGGACAGACTGTAGAGGAACTTGTCCGGTAAGAATGCTAGGCTTTGCTTTTTGTTCTGTGGGGCTGCTTTCAAGAGAATCACGGCATGGTGACTCTTTCGTAGGGCTAGGCTCCAGGGAATCAGGGGTTTTGTGTGATGAGTTATCTTCCAGCACCGGGCTTGCTTCCAATGAATCCTTATGACTTATAGCCAGGGATTCATCTGCCACAGGGCTAAAGCTTTCACTGTGATGACTCGGAAGGGAAAGTTCCAATCCTTGGGGACTTCTGATAGCAACATGACTTTCACAAGTCTTATATTTCTCTAAAGAGCTGTCATACATTTCAGAAGATTTAGTTAACTGTGTGTGTTCACTACTTTTGGATTCTTTGGCACTGCTAACATCTGTCATAATGGAAGCTGAGCTACCGTCTCTAAGTTTGCCTGCCCCTTTCTCAGGGTCTGAAGGTACCTGTTCTGATAAATGATCAGAAAGAGATTTCATAGCTTCAATATCTGTGCTTAGCTGTTCTGCAGTAATACCTCTGTCATCTTTCATTGGTGGGGCTTCCTTTGGAGAACACGTCTCAGCTACTCTGTGCACCACAGTGGATTCTTTTGTTTCTCCAATTTCTTCATCAGTTTTCTTGGGTGAGAAAGACAAACTTTCAGGGCTTGTTTCTGGAGTCTCTGCCAGACCCTCATGCTTATAACTTTCCTCAGAGCTGATTTGAGGGGTTCCATCAAGCAGGCTACCGGGAGAATCTGCTACACCTTCATGTTTAAGGCTTTCTGAGCTGCCATCAAAGGTACCACTTTGTAAAGAAAGAGCAGGGAGAAAGCCATCTTTCACATACTCTGATGGGAAGGTAACATTGAAAGGACTGGTCAGTACTTGCTCTAAGTGAAGCTCTCCTTCCTCAGTGATAGAAACGTGTCGAAACTGCTGGTACTTGTCATTATTCTCGAGCTCTTCTTTAATGACATCAGAAAAGTCGGTTGAGGTTTTTCTGTCAGGGCTGATCTGGAAGTCAGTGTCTCCTTGGTCATCATCAGTTGTCTTTTCCTTCACAACTGCTGCCTCCTTGGAACTTTCTTCATCAAACACTGGAGAGAAAGATTCGGTTGCTTTAGAGCTCTCTCCTTTCACCTGGCCTCTATCTACTGGTTCCTTTTTAGAGCAATCAATAGAAGCTTGCTTTCCTTTTTTAGATGGCGAATCTTTCTCTGTCTTAAGGACTTTGGCTTGTTTGGCTGGCGGGCTATCTTTTTTGTTTGTTTTCCTAGATGGTGGTGCCTGTCCTGTTTCACTTTCTTTGTCAGATAGCTGCTGCTTTTGTTTGATAGTTTTGTGCTCAAACAGTCCGGATTTTTTCTTGGATGGATCTTGTCCTGACTGGAAGGCTTTCATTAGCTCCCGGACTGACATAGTCTCTTCCAGTCTTTCTGTTTTAGCTGAGGGTGAAACAGGTGGCTGTGCTTTGTGCACAATTTTTTTAGCTTGCACTGGCCTTCTAACAGGCCTCTCTGCAGTGATTTCTTTGGGGTGGATTCTGACAGGCAGTTTTGAACGTACTTTCTGTTCATCTTCCACTCGCTTCTGAAGAGCTTTTACCTTGTCTTTTATTGAGCCAATAGGGGTCTCTTCTATTACAGGGGATATGGCGCTAACATCAGGAGCAGCTGCAGGTGTTAAACCTGGCTCACCATCTAATGACTCCTCAGAACTGAACTTTGTTAGTCCTGATTGTTCTTCACTGCTTTGTGTCTCTCCCCCTCCTTCTTTTTGCCTTTGTTTATCTTTTAGTTTCCTCCTAATTGGTTTTTTAATTTCCAAGGAGGGTTTGTGTTGCTTCTGTGTACATTGAGTTTCAGCAGCTGGAGAGCCCTGTGTGCCTGTTTCAGAACCCCTGCTTATAACAACAGCTTCAAATTTCTCCCCAACTAAATCTTCTTGGAACGTTTGTGGCTGCACTTCATGAAGAGACACATAGGTTTTTAAATCCTTGGTAAGATAATCTACCATTCCTGTCATGTCTGTCTTTTTTGTCTCTGTTGTTCCTTTTTCTATCCTAAGTTCTATACAGGCAGGTTCAATGGCTTCTAACGGAGCATTGCGTCTGGCCTCTTCAATTTCTTCATCACTGAGAATAACCCATTCCTCTTCCACTAATTCTCTTCCAGAATGGGACCTCGGCAGTATGTGCTCTTCTCTTGTGTAGGTTCCACGTCTGAGTATTTCGTTTACTTTCTCTTCCACAATTTCAACTGGCTCTCCTGGCTCTTCTTCGGTGGCTTTCCCAAGATCTTTCACCTTAATGGAACCTGATTGATCGGAAGGGTCAGTTGTCAAGATGGCAGTCATTTTGATCAAATCTTGTTTCATCTCAGAAACTTCAGATAGCAAATCTGGACTGGCTAGTACTGGGACTTCATTAACCAGGTGGCTTTTCAGGATAGATGTTTCTGTAGATTCTGTCTCGTCATCATCTTTGATGTGAATGAAAAACATTGAAAGTAAAATGGAAATCAAAAATAGAGATTGAAAAATGTAATCAGGACCAAAAATGACAGTCTTTGGTTGCATTGGTAGAATGGTCAACAAAATGGGCTGGGAATGGTGGATCCACAAGATCTGAGGATACAAGAGCAAAGCAAAGCTAATAGGAAAAAAAGAAAACTGAAAAGGAAAATGGGCAGGAAATAACTTGCTTAATTTTCCCACTATTGCACATCCACACATACAACATCACCAATTTATCAGGACAACATAAAAATTAAAATAACAAAAAAGTAAATTAAAAAACAATGCGGGAACACAGTGAATTTACACAAATAGACATCTCAAGATTGTTTGGATGTTATAGATTGATGTTAAAATAAAAGAAAGCAAGAAAAAAGCAAACAAAAAAAGGTAAGCAAAAAAACCCAAACATTAGAATTGGTTGAAAGTTGATTTCCTCTAAGTGAAAGCCAGTGGTAGCAAACTGTCAGCATAACATTTGGGTAGAAGTGCACATTTGTTTTTCTTAATGATCAAAACAAAAATTAAAATCTGTATTATGTATATTTAGTTCTGTAGTAATCTAAAGTCTGATCAAATATACAGAGATCTGAATCAGCTGCAAACCGGCATTTCATCTAAGGGGATCTCATACCTAAACAATGCAACAAACATTCTTTTGTTTCAAGAGGTATGGTCCTTTCCTTGGAACATCCTCATTGACAAATAACATATATATTGAGGATTATAAAAAAAAAAAAAAAAAAGGAGAAGAGGGGGAAAAAAGGGAAAATAAAAATAACCGTGAATCAACTTAAATGTGAATTTAAAGGTTCAAAAAATGTTATTAATGTATGGCAACCAAAAATCAAGACATTCACACTGGACACACATACAATTTATGTAAGCCAAGTTATTTCCATGCAAAGCAAAGGCGTTGGGTATGCAGCCTTACTTAGAAGCACTAGATGGAGAATGGTTATAAATTAAAATAATACATAAAAGCACTAGATGGAGAATGGTTGTAAATTAAAATAAAAAAACAACAACAGTGTACTGTGGTGAAGTATTAACTATTCTCCACTACCAATATACAAAGTATTGGATTGTGGGCCGTTCTCTATATGGCACAGTTGTTTGTGGAGAATATTTTGTGACGGGGCCCAATTTGAACAAGGATTATTAAGAAATCTGCATTTGATGAAATAAAATAGTATGACATTAATGTCAGTTATGTCCAGATTATCACTGTTATTTATTTATAATGTAATAATTTTTTCTTGCTTTTAAAAATATTACAGTATACCAACAGTAATATTTTTCTGTATCATAAGTGATTAATGGAATAAACCTATCTGAAAGTTGCTGTGCAAATATCTGCATTTGTTTTTAAAAAATATTCAATTTATTGTAATAAAAAAAGTATTTCGTTAAGACCTAGTATTTCTCCTCTGAGAAAGTAGACACAATAAAACTGGTTGTTCATGTTAATAAGTCATCTCTGTGTTGTTTTATAGTGTTACCAAATGCCCAAAATGGTAAACAAGAGGGCTGACAGAACAATTAAGATTTGATGGGAAATAAAGGAAACTTCTTGGAGACATCTGAGACAATGTCAACATCTTGAATGCAGCATACTTGAAAAATTGTCATTATATGGGAAATAGTGGCATTAAGCCCCAGCTGTCCAATGTGATTAGGCACTGTGGACCCCTTTTATCTATGTGGAGCAGCTATAATCCCCAAGGATCTAGGTTTGTGGTTACTGATACAGGCAGGGAGGTCTAGATAGATGATTTTCACTGGTATGCAATTTTATTGAGAATTTACGCATCCAGACTCACTGAAAAGCCTACTTGTACTAATGAAAAGCACTCCCGTTTCAGCAACAAAAGTAAAGGGTTGATATATCAGTGGTGGGTTTTTTTCCTTGTTTTTTAAATCCTTTCAGTTAGGATTCCAAATGCTTCCTTTCTAGTAACTTTTTACTTTAGTAAATGATAACAAAATGTGCAATGCACCCCACTAACATGGAACCCTACTAACGTACATCAGTAAGACTCCTGTGCCACTGTGGAGTTAGTCTTGAGGTTAGGGTCAGCACTTCAGTCATGCACTCCAAAAGAGTTAGCAGTTAGGCATTGTGCAAATAATCACTATTAAATCCTATATAATCGTCACACTAGAAGGGTGTTCTTTGCACAATGGACCCTATGCACTAAATAATATATTTTTTATATTAATCTCTCAGGATTATGATGCTAAAAATAACTTATGTGCCAAATGAGGAAACAGCTAACTTTCAAAAGACAATATGTAGAAATGAACTTTTTCTTCTGTCTTAAGTTGTATTCACTTGTAAAGATGGCTGCAACCACGAGACAAGTCAAAAGTAATTTCCTCCCTGCCCCTCCCCCCCTCCTCAAATGCAGTTGGTAAGAAAAACCACTGCATGTGAAAGCATTTAGCTCTCATCATAGGACTATTCAAATTGAGCAAATAAATTCTCTGGTATCTTCATTAAAAGGAGAGCTTTAGAAGAGCAATTGTTTGTTATAGGTTAGGACCAAGCTAGTCCATTAATCCCGGTCATTGCAACTAATAACTGTTAGGCTTCATTACATAATGCAAGTATTTAAGGAAAGTCATCTATCCAATCATATTTCACCACAGTAATGGGGATTACACAGCCTGGTTACTTTGGACAGTATCACTTTTACACATGCCTGTGTTTCTTGTAATCAACGTTATGAAAAGTTTAGTGATGCATTTTTATTAAAAAGTGATACTGTCATTTCTCTAATAAAAATGAGATGACAATATTATGCTGACAAACATACAAAAACATAAAAATGGAGGGATGGGTATTTATTCAAGCATAACAGCAATAGCAGGATTACTAGGGATGTTGAAGGAAAGTGAATGCTTAGATGAATTTTCTTAATATGGTATTAAAAATTTACAAGTTAAAATGTACTTAATCAAACAGCTGCATTCCTATTATATTGCTTACTATTACATTTTATAATTATTAGTAATGTCAGTTAGAGCTTGCAGTCTCGTTTATGCTTTTCTTTATTCTTAACCAGTTTTCATACAAACAGTTGTTGGTGTTTTTTAAAAATCTTACTTTTTTCTGAGGTCATGTCAACCTGAAAGAGAACACAGATAAAGTGAAATGGTTACAATATCACACTGGGCTGTGTGTAAGATCATATAGGGATACATTTAAATGTGGAATTCTGTGAGCACCACTAAAAGACTCTGATGTGAAAATGGAATTTACAACGTTCAACACTGAGCAAAATTAGGGACTACGGATAATGTCAAAACCATACTGCAGATAACATTGGGACCCACCGTTTGTCACAAGTAAGCGTGGAGAATTCCCATTTCAGCCAATACATGTTTCTATATGCAGGGAAATACAAGACATTGCCCTAAAATATTATCCTTATTTGTTAGCTCTTGCTTTTTAAAGGAGTGATCAAAACAGTAATATATCGCTACAAATTGTGATACACATGTGCCTTATGATCACTAGTAGGTCACATTACTATTGGTAAACAAGGAGTAGTCCTATGGCACCTTAGAGACTAACAAAATATATAGAATCATGAGTTTTCGTAAATTAATGTAAGTAACCATTTTAATGTTAATGCCAATGTGTAATTTACTACACTGCTAGTGGAAATCCCACTGATGTACCAAGGGAAGGAATAGACTCCTTAAAATTGGTCTAATTTTTGAACAGTTAATCTCACATAAGTTCTTAAAGCATTATTCTATGCCCATATAATAATGAATCCTAGTAATAGAAAATCAATAAAAACTACTACTTTTAATTCTACGTTGGGATGTTGGGCCAGGCAGGTTTTTTAAAAAACAAAAAATTAGCTCATGCTTCCGGGTCTAACTCTGTTGGGTTTTTGGTACGGAGTTGTATCTGCTACGTGTATCAGCAACTGACAGAAGCAGGCTATCAGATTGCAGACAGATTTTAAAAATTGTTCTACACCCACATTTGGGACCAGATTTCCAAAAAGGCTCAGCTACCTGACTGTACATTCATTTGTCACCCACCAAGTGCTGGGCATTTCTGAAATGTCCAAATTATTTAAATGGGTGAGGAATATCTGGCCTCATGTGTATTCCATTATAATAATTCCAATCCCCAAATCTTAGTTTTTCTTTAAATGGCAACCTGAATAATTGTGTTATCTAAAATTCTTGCAATAGTGGTTTCAAAACTGTTCTGTGCTTCATGGGGAATATGTTAATAATACACAGGGAGCTGACTGGTCATATGATTCTAGCTTTCCTTCCTGTTTACAACTGGTAACTATCAATACAAGAAAACTAAAAATACATAATTATATTTTCCCACGTAAGGATCATAGCCCAAGAAATTTTGGTAATTGCCTGAAGGATACAATGTGATTTCGAATATAAAAGGACAAAACATTCAGTCTTCCGAGACGTCTATAAGTTCTCACTTGTTAGTAGAAATAAGCAATGGCAGAGCCATGATGAAGTGGCATGATAGCAAAATTACCTCTTCTTCCTGCTCTTGGTCTGACTCGGATTCCTTTCAGCCCCAAGATGCCAGGCAATAAAAGAGGAAAAAAGAGAGGAGGAAAAATACAGAATATTGAGAAGAAAAGGATAGGAAAAGTACTGTTTCAGACAAAATATAACCAGCAAGAGTAGGTAGAAAGCACAGTTTTTGCAAATCAGCTGTCATGAGTCAAAAATAGCACAGGGTCAGTTTAAATATAAAAGATAGCAGAGTCAAGCACATTACAAACAGAAAAGCTGCTTGTGGGGTCTTTGATTTCTACTGTGTCTCAAATCCTGCTATGGAATCACATGCATCATAGAACTCATACACATACAGTTTATATTAAGGGGACACAGCTATTCATAAAAATAATAGTGGTATGAAATATACAGCACATACATAAAAATACGGGGCTGTAGTTGACTATTACAAGGCACCTTTTACAGTAAGCTATCATGCATCTCACAATAATGTATTAATAAAGGTGCTTTTCTTCGAAACATGTTTAATCCTAAAGGGTGAAATTCACCTCTATGCAGAGGGCTGCCCATTTGGTAAGAAAGAACGGACCACACAAGACAGATTTTAACCGGTCTTAATGCACTGCTGGAAGGTACGCGGGTACTAAGGTTAGTAGAGAGGTCCAAGAAGGATAGAATAGAATTGTGCTGGCCCTCTGCATGGGTGAATTGCTCTTAGTGCCTGATCCAGCTCTCACTGAAATGAACGAACAGATGCATGGATTTCAGTGGAACTTCAAATATACTAGTTATAAATGTTAGCAAATACTGACTTTCAGTAACTGTTCCCCATTTTCTTTGCTAGTATTAGCTCCTTTCCTGCATCAGTTATATATCACTATATCTTTTGAGGAGGTTCTCCTTAGAAAGCAGTTGCAAAGTATAATATTGTTAAGCATATTGTGGCAGATTTCTGACAGCTTTGAACAGATGGCAAAATATGTATTGCAGTATTAGAATTCTATTTGGAAAATAGCTTTGATGCTGTTGCTAACTACTGTAACTTCTAGCGTGTATTAACTATTGTAACTTCACTTCTGACAACTAATATGAGCAATGAAATCGTTCTATTAATCATATGGAAATCCCATCTCAAGATGCTTTGTTTTTCAAGACTATTATGGCCAGGTAATAAAATAACCAAAACATATTTGGAACTTCTTTGTCACTATCATTATTGTAATATGTATTATCAATATTAAATATATTCTTATGGAACTCTGTGAGACGGGGGATTGAAAGAGAAGTCCATTTCTATGCACCGAGGCACAGAGTGCTCAAGCAGTTTACCCGAGATTACACGGGAAGTCTTTGGCAAAATTAGGAATGGAACCTGGGCCTATTCAGTGATTCCCGTTTCTGTGTTTTATCACTGTACAGCACTGTAAGTAGTTTTAATGTAATTTCTTCATGGAAACCAAGCTTCACGTATTCCAAAATCAACTGAAACCCATGTGAGTCTTTCTATTATATACAATGGGCTTCATGTCAGACCCTCTATGGCCCTTGTGTCACTTTTTTTTTTTTTTAAACTATTCCATCACCAGGATGGAAGGTACGTTTAAAAATATACAGAATGGAAATAATTTCATTTGAAATCCAGTCAAAAAAGATATATGGTCCAAAATCTGATATATTCCTCCCTGCCCAAAAGGGTTAGGTCAAATATTATGTCAAATATGCATTGTGTGCTCTCAAGAGAGTGGTTGTGCCAATATTCAAATAAACTGATAGATTCTGAATACTGTTTATTTTTCCCTAACTAATATTAAAACCCTTAGGCCTGGTCTACACGATAGCATTAGGCATTAGACTTCTGATGTTGACTTTATTATGTCTGCGTACACACTACTGCCTTGCTCCCAACAATGTAAGTGCCCTATTATGCCAACACAGTAATTCCATCTTCACGAAAGGCATAGCACAGCTTATGTCAGTATAGTTAGGGCGATGCATTTTGTATATAGATCGGGGTGGGCAAGACAGCCTCTGCCAGCCGAATCCAGCCCACCAAGCTAGTTGATCTGGCCTGGAGCTGCCCTGCTCCTCCTCCACTCCCAGGCCAGTCAAGATCTGGGGATGGGAGAGCACGCAAAGTTTCTGCTCCTCGCCATGGATGCACGGCACCAGAGGGAACCATCAGATACCTAAGGGCACTGGCAGGGGGCAAAGACTTCACGCGCTCCCCTGCCCCAAAGCAAATCAGGGTCTCTGAGTGGGGCGGCCTGGGACCACTTCAGAAATTTGTGAAGCGGCTCCCCTTAGATAAAAGTATGCAGCATCAACATGAGGAGTGGGCAATAATTTTCAATTGGCTGTCATTCTGTTCATTTGAGCCATGAAATTGAGAAGGAGCCAGCTCCTTGCTTCCCAGCCAGGGTGCTAATTGATCCCCATTCCAAGTTGGGCTGCTCTCCAAGCTCCATGTTCTGATCTGGGCTGGTGCCTAAGCTCTCAGCTTCCTGCTACCTACTGGAAGCATGGCTGCCTCTGTGGCTTTCTTTTTTTTCCTGCCAGGACAGGGGCAGCCACACCAGCCTTCTTCAGTCCTCACTCCCTGCCACGAACAGAGCAGCTGACTAGATGCCAGGCACAGATCACCCCACCAGGAGCCCACCTGCCTGGGCTCTGAGCTCCCTGCTCCACAATGGGTGCATGGCTGTGCCTGGCAAGGAGTGCTGCACCTGGTGTCCATTCAATTGCCATGGGCAGCATGGAGCTGAGAAGCCCAGTGCAGCTATCCTGTTCCTGACAGGGATGAGGAATCTGAAGGGTTAGAGGGGAACATAAGAACACAGAATGGCCATATTGGGTCAGACCAAAGGTCCATCCAGCCCAGTATCCTGTCTGCCAACAGTGGCCAATGCCAGGTGTCCCAGAGGGAGTGAATCGAACAGGTAATGATCAAGTGATCTCTGTCCTGCCATCCATCTCCACTCTCTGACAAGCAGAGGCTGGGGACACCATTCCTTACCCATATTGGCTAACAGCCATTTATGGACTTAACCTCCATGAATTTATCTAGTTGTCTTTTCAACCCTGTTATAGTCCTAGCCTTCACAAACTCCTCGGGCAAGGCGTTCCACAGATTGACTATGTGCTGTGAGAGCCAGACTCCTGGTGGGAAGCAAAGATTGGGCTGCTGGCAGGGAGCTGCACATGAGGCTGAAAGCACCGGATGTCAGCCCCCACACTGTCCCTCTTCAGTTGGGGGGAGGCACTCCCAATGAGGATGAGCACTAGCAGCAGCAGAAGGGCAGCGTGAACATGAACCAACACAGCTGTTGACCTAACATAAGCTGACTTAAGTTTAAAGAAAACATGCCCTCCATCGTCTTTCCCCCAGTCTTTTCCCCTCCTAGCTATTTCCTGGTTGCGCTGTGACACTGAGGATGCCACACAAAACCGTCTAAAAAGCTCTGAGACAGTACAGTTGACATTACCTTTATGTAAAGTGGCAGTGTGATATTTAAGTTGCAGATGGCTTGATGGACTAGCCCTCTTGTAGATTTTGGCTCCTTCATAAATGACAGTCTCCCACAAGCTTCTTGAGTGGAGTCTCGTACCTAATGTAGTAGAGATACAGAAATTTAATCTGTACTTTAGCTGCACTCTATTTCATATGCAGTGCCACAGCTAGTCAAAAGAAAAGAGTAAATCTTGAACAAAGCTGCTTCAGGTATGTGGATGTATGTTTATTGTGTAGTGTCTTTGTTATAGACTGGAGTATGTGAAAAACAGGAGAGATCAACAAAATAATTCAGGCAATTTGAAGTCCGTCAGTAATAATGACTTATCCATACAATGCAGTTGAGACTAGGTATGTAAGAGTGTAGCAGCGTCGGGCAGCAGCCGGAATGTGCCAGGAGCTGGCTTCTAAGCCGTCTCCTGCTGCTCATCAGCTCCCAGGAAACCAGCTGCCACGATACATAGTAGCAGCGCACACCGGCTCCTGGGGAACTGGCTGCTGCCCTGCATGTAACCATTGAAATTTTCAGCAGTTATACAGTTAGCCAATTACACCCATTTTAACATCCCTAATTGAGGCAATAATTGCACTGACACAACGCTGTCATGGCAACTTGCACTAACTCTGCTTTTCAGTGACATTTATTATAGGTAATTTTTAAATTAATCTATAAAATAAAGCCTTCAAAATTCATAAGTTACATCATAATTTATAGATGCACTTGTATCTTTTTAGGCAAATTATCATCAATGACTGCTTCTTTGTCATTCTCTCCCCATAACAGCAGCTAAGTGGTCAATTACTGTCTTTTGTTACTAATGAAGTCAAAGGTCACACTTTCAGGTTGTCTTCTGCTTGATGATATCTTAACAATTAGAGCCATATTCACTGCACTTACACTTGAAAAACAGTGCTGGAATAGCTCTGAAAAAGCTGCAAGTTACTTACATGTGACCACAGAATAACCCATAAAACAAAACAAAATTATATGAGACCATGGATGTTCTGAGACTTTGAAGTAAATCTCTGTAAAACAGAGGGCTGCACTTGTAAGTGGACCAATCAAAGGAAAAATACAAAATAAGGACTAATGGAGTGGGCTGTTCCACCATCTCATTCGGCAAAGAGCAGTATTCCAAGAAACACAATATGGAGTCCAAAATGCACCATTTTAAGTATGCCCATGCACTTACCAGATTAGTATAAATACTGTGCATTTTTAATCCAGATTTAGGGCCAATGTATTCATTAAAATTTGGTTTGCCCTACCAGTCAACAGTAGGCAGCGGTTGTTTGCATCAATAAAATACATATTTCATTTTTTCTTACACTAGAAAGGGGAGAATCTGAGGGATGGACATTTTCCAGACTGACAAGTATATTGAAAACCCAGAGCCAGCCCTGATTAAAACTACAGTCCATAACTGAAGTTATTCCATTACCTTGACGAATAGTGGTAGTCTATTTTCTTTGAAGGCATAAAAACTGAATATATGATGTTGCCCACTTTTTGTGAGTGGCACCAGATTGCCAAAGCAGTCAACGTAGATAGGCTTTCCCTCTAATACCTATGTGGAGTTAGGAAAAAAAATCGTATTAATGGTCATATTCAATATTCATTTCTACAACATTTCGATTGATCCTTACGTCTGCATTGATTTGAGCCAATATTAAATTTTTCACAATACAGTGATCTTAGCATTAAGTTTGCCATCATTATTATTACCTATAATCAGAAATTAGTTACATCAGTTCTAATTTTGCCTAGTTTCACCTATTAAGAGCAGTAGTGAAAAGTGCATGTAAATGAGAACTAAGTCCTATGTTCTGTGAATCTGTGCAGAAACGTGTGCAACTTTCCAGTATGCTGCACTAAACTGTTTGCTATATGGTACGATAAATGCACCTGTTCCAGTTTTCTTTTCAGCTCTCACCTGTCCTCTTCTGGCTAATTCAATCACTGTTTCATTCTCTTAACAACGCCTAGCAGATAGCTGACAAAGTCACCAGTGCACTGAACCTTGCTCCCTTTTAAATGAATCAGTCCCTCATGTTCACCACTACAGATGAAGGAAAGATCTTAGTCCATGAGCAAATTCGGGATCATGAGCTGGAATGTAGCAAATCTGGATGCATCATGAGGTTAAATGTTTTACCTTCCTAGTCAGTTCAAATTATCCTGTAATTTGTTTACTCTGCTACAGGGTGACCGTGAGAGTCCAATCTACCTGGGGACAGTCTTAGAGTTGAGGTTTTTCAGAGGGGTTGTGCACTTGCAGATCTAATTGGCTCCAACTGAAATGGTGAACATTTGGTTCTTCTGAAAAAGCAGGCCTCAAGTGAATACCTGGGATGCCTCGATGACACCACAGGTTGGACCTCTCTGGTCCGGCACCTTTGGGACCTGACTGGTCCCAAACAAGGGAATTTGCTGGACCAGGGAAGTGCCCCTGCTACTGCCCTCCCCCATTTCTTCCTGCCCCCGCTGGGCTACCGTGCTGCTGCCGCCCCAGGCAGCCCAGACTGCCGCGTCCCTGGCTCCACTACCAGGGCTGCGTGTCCCAGCTGCCATATCCCCAGCCCCACTACTGGGGCTGCCATTGCCCCGGTAGTGATACCAGGGCCTTCTTGCCACTGGGGCTCCCAGCCAGGAATCTCTGGTCCAGGAACATCTGTGGTCCTACCGGACCATGGATGTTGCCAAATGAGGGAGTTCTGTTTTTTGGAGGTCCAACCTGTACTGCTTATCTCTCATGGTGGTTATTTATATGATCCTAAGTCCCTGGAACTCACCTCAGCACAGCTTTTGGAATCAGTCCACATGAAGGACATTTCTTACTTTTACCTCCCAGGAATTTTGCCTTGCCAACGTAATGATTACCCATTTTATCTATATTCTCTGCAAAAAAATTGCCTATTTAGGCAACAGACTCTGAGCCTGAGAAAACATTTATTCATGGTGGGATTTTGCATAGAAAACAGGGTTTGAAAAGAGACAGAATGTGCTGTGTTTTATCCATTTCCCATTTTTCATCACTTTTAAAGGAGCTGACTCAGCCAAACAGCATTTAGCATGCAGAGCTACTATCCACACAGAAAGGCTTTCGTATGTACAGCAGAATATATATGAAACCTGCTAATTTAATATCTTGATTCTGGTGGATGAGCACCACTTTTCTTACTGATGTCAACAGCAATCATTCTGTCAAATCCAGCAACTGCTGTCAGGGAGTTGATCTTTTTCAATTATTAATAGGTATTTGGAAGAAACTGGCAGGTGGACACTTAACTGCTCTCAGAGGATGGGCTCTGGAGATTTTCAAAGCCTCCATGTGCCTTACAAAGCTTAAATCACATGAACATCAAAAACATGACTAAACTGCAAAAGGATAAATCCTGAGGGAGTTACTCGTTTTTTTTAAAGTCCTTACTCGGGCAGACTTCTAAGGAGTCAGTGGAAGATTATCTGAATAATAAGGAATTTAAGATTTTGTTGTAACAGATTACATCACAAAACTAATTAAAATTAAATCCTTCACCTTTGACCACCACAGAAATGGTCACTGTGCACTTTTGCTAGTGTTGCTTCCGAGAGAGGAATGGAAATATAGACAAGCGAAATTGCAAATGAAGCACGGATTTGAATTTCCCGCGCTTCATTTGCATAATCATGGACTGCCACTTTTCTGAAATAGCATCTTTCGAGAAAACAAATGCGGTCCCTTGGTTTTTCCTCAAAGGTTATTTTGAAAGAAGGGTTTTTTCTCGTAATAACCCCGCAGGGACCGCGTTTGTTTTCTTGAAAGGCGCTATTTTGGAAAAGTGGCAGTCCGTGATTATGCAAATGAAGCGCGGGAAATTCAAATCTGCGCTTCATTTGCAATTTCACTTGTCTGCATTTACATTCCTCTCTTGGAAGTGGAATGCAATGTAGACATACCCAATGGGAGCAGTCCTGGGCTAGAAGGAAGTGGGTGAAGCAGGCAGGTAGATGCATTGATTTATGTAACATATTCCAGGTAGATTCCACAGACAGGGTTCCTACAGAGTGCAGGTGAATGAAAAACTGCTCCTCCTCTAACAAAATTAAGGTGGGTGCATCTGTGGTAGCAACACTGTTACACCCTCTCTTGGGATGGTCTCCCTCGATTGCAGCTGCCCAATGACTTTTTCTGGTTTTGTGTGCCACAATCTGAGATCCGTATTTAGCCAACATTCCTACCAGCTTCAATGACAGTTTTACCTCACCACTAAGGGTCAAAAAACTAACATTATTCTTGCGTGACAAGAAACAGGATCATCCTTTCAATAGGAGTATTCCTGTCCCTTTCAGCATTGCTCATACTCCACACCGAAGTGGAGGCAGAAACGATTGCCCTTCCATATTGCTGTTTTGCTGTGAAATTAGACAATAGAAGTGATCATAACAGTATCCTGAAGACTCCCCTCCCCTGAATTTGATAGAGAATGCCACTTATCTAATACTCTCTAACCCTATTGGCCTTGGGAGCAAAAGACTAATGTGAATTTAAAGAGAAAATGACTTTAGAGAGAAAATTTTCAAAAATGCCTCAAAAGAGACTTTGGGAGCCTGAGTCTCACTGACCGTCAGTAAGACTTAGGTTTCTATATGCTTAAGTCAATTTTAAAAATGGAATCTAGACTCCCAAAGTCACTTCGATGCATTTGAAAATTTTACCTTCGGCTCTAAACTCTGAGCCTCCAGAACGAATCATCTGCCGGCATCTGCACGCATTCAGTCACCCTCCCAAACCTTTCTTTTAATTTAAACCTTACAGCTGGGATTTTCCAAAGCACTCAGTGATGGCCTAACTCGGTTCCCATTGGTATGAAATGAGAGCTTGATATCATGTCATAATTGGTCTGAAACTTGGTGCTTGTTTTGTGCACCTTGCCACTTTATAGGTTATACCTTATACATAACCAACTGATATGTAAACTATGCATACAGCTTGAGGGGTATAAAAAGTTTTCTGTTGAACTGCTTTTCATTTTTATGCACAGAAAAGCTGACTCAAAAGGCCAATATTCATTTCCACACACAACAGTACACCACTACATTCTTTGGTTTGGAGGATGTAAGCCTGATTTTTAATCCAATTGCAAAATATTCAAGAAATGTATGCATGCTTCCATGACTTACTATTTCTGCTTCCTATATCAGACAACATGAAGAATCTGTGATTTTGGAAATAAAAGGGGCAAGACATTGTGCATGAAAACAAAATTATACTACATATTCTTGTACCTCTACATCTCTGCTTCTGGCAACTTCGGCAAAGTTTTCTTGTTGTTCTAGCGTTTTATCCACCTTGTCATCTGTCATGCAGAAGCACCTTAATCGAGCTTCAATGGGATCATGTGATTTGGCAAACACAACAAATTTGGCCATGTAGGGCACACAGATAATTTCTCTATACACTTGGGAGGCAAAAGTAACAGATTCTTGTATCTGCCGACAGTCTACCAACCAAAACCTGCGAAGGAACATAAAAAGCAGTTATTGAAAATGGCCATCTAGCAAGATTTAAGCAATGCAAATCCCCATAGTATTAAGTGTAAATACAGTGCTGATAGTATTGCCCTCTGACATCAGGTACCACAGCCAGAGTTATTCATGAAAAAAATCAGAATAAAGTAAATATTTAAAAATCATCACTTTGGGGAGATGAGGATTAGGATACATATAATATATTTCTCTTGATAGAAGGACATTTTAAATAATTATATGCACTCTGATCCTGCAAAGATTCCAACACACAATGAGATTTAAATATATGAGTAGACCCACTGAATCAAAAGTTTGGGTCAAGTATGTGTGAAAATTTTTTCAGGGTCAAG